CCGCCCCTGCCCAGTTCAGCCGCTGCCCAGGCCACGCAGGGGGAGCTCGCCAGATTTGAGGGGTTCTGAGGGGCCCCGTTGCACTGTCCAGTTCCTCTAGGGCCCCGGTTTGAATGTGGTCCTTGGGTTCCCCCTCCTTCTGGGGCACCCCACCCATCCCCACGGCTAGAGTATCCTTGGAGTTGGAGCATTTTGTAGATACGGACACTAGTATTTGCTGGACATTTGACACCAGCTGGACAAACCCTTGGTGCAATGAGATGTAGGAGTAGCTGAGCCTGGGAAGGAGACCCATCAGTTGTTCCCATTATCTTGTGCCAGGAGGCTGGATGCCAGGGACCTCCAGGGGTGCCCTGGGGCATCCTCTGCTTAAGGAGCTGTAACCAGTTGGTATCCATATAGCTGATGACAAGGGGGCGGTTACTTGAGCGCCCCAGAAGAAATCTAATCTGTGGACTACTTCCAGCACCGGTTCAGGCCTGGGTATGGGGCATAACCACACCAGCTGCCCTCCTCGATGTCTCCTGGTGGGCTTGGGTAGGTCCTGCTCCACTTGGGGGCTCTCAATAACATCAGCTGTGACATGTTTTAAGGTAAACCATGAAGGTTGGAATCACAGGCATCATTTTGTAGCCGTCCGAGCCCACATGGAGCAAGAGGGGCTAAGTGGCCCAACGGGGGAATAGTCTCTTCCCTCCTGTTTGATTTCCTATTTGTATGAAGTGGCTGTGGAAAACCCTGCCAAAGAGTCGAGCTTTGTTATCAGAACCTACCCAGAGAAGTGGGATCACGCGGCCAGTAGGCTTCTCGGGGGGGGGGGGGGGGGTTCCGTATCCTGTTCCTACTGACTCACTCACACAACCTATAGAGGGGGCTGCCTTTTTCTGCCTGGGGTGATGATTGACTCTTAGTTGGCACTGAGTCAGCCTGGAACCTTTGGACTCTGTCGGAAGCTTTAACAATCCTTCCTTTTTGGAGAGCAGTTGAAAGCTTGCTGCAGTATAAGAACACAAAATGTCATAAAATCATCTCTAGCTGCTGTGAGGGCCTTGGTCTTGCCCCCCCCCCCTTCCCAAGGGCCACATCGATGTCTCAGGATGAGGCATTGGCCTTTTTCCATTGACCACAGTGTGGTATGGACTGAAAGGCAGTATAGAGCAGTGGCTAAAGGCACCAGACTAGAAACTGGCCAAGAAAACCACAAGGAATGGTCCAGGCAGTTGGCCAGTGGAAGCAGTGTGATAAGGACCCTTCGTCTGGGCTTCATCCAGGGCGTGTAGTCGTTTCCAGCCCAGAGGCAACTTTCTTCTCATTCTGGACCACTTGGGGATGTAGAAGGCCTGGTTGGAGGGGCAATGGCATCATGTCTTTCCCATTAGGTGCTAATGGGTGAAACTAAGGTCCTAGGTCTTGTGTGTGAGTCTCCTCTAGCAGTTAGAACAGAGTCCCGAGCAGTTATTTTCAATTAGTCTTTTCATGCGTATTTGTTTCACACCTTGCCTGACTCTTGCTGCATTCAGTTCATTCTTAATAAAAGTACCTTTTCTCTTAAATATGGAGTCGAGGGTTTTCTTCCCTAGAATTGATCCCAAGCAGTCCTGACATTAGGCAAGGCCTGCTTTAACGGTCAGCCTAGAGACTGCAGTCTACTAAGCAGACGGAGCATCGAAAGGTGTAGCCGTGAGAGTGAACTGGAGGAGACGGGGGCACCAGTCGGGTCCCCTCCTAGACCTCATCACACCTGAGACAAAGTGGAGCAACTGGAGGAGCTGGACCTCGATAGAGGAACCTGTCAAGCCCAGATGGTCATTGGGCGTGGGGTGAAAGGAAGAACCGGAAGATCAACCCTTGAAGGTACTTTTACTCCAGGAAGCAGAAGTTCCCACAGGCAGGAATGTTGTGAGGGGGACAAGACGTCCCCCCTCTTGATCCAGAGGACATCATGCTGAGCCATATCTTGTACCTATTGCAAAAAGTGATTGAGAATCAAAGAGCCTGGGAAACGTTCACTCAGATGGTGACCACTCAGGCTCCCCGGACCACCCCAAACCAAGCTGTGGACAGAGCTGCTGCAGTGGCTGCCACACTTGCTCCGCCTGGACAGCACCAGGTCCAGTGGTGCTATCCCCAGCGGCAGCGGCTTCCACCTGCCCCTTGGAGATACCAGACCCTGAAAGCTCCCACCTGGGAAGTGACGTATGGGGGAGACCCCAAGCAACTGGGGTTCTTTCTGGGGCAAGTCTGGAACTACACGCAAGAATATGAGGCCGAATTGGGGACGGAGGCAGCTTGAGTAACATGCATGAAAGTGCAGCATCCGAGTGGATGGTCTCCCTCCATAATGAGGATGCCCCCCCCCCCCCAGCTGCAGAACTACAACCACTTCATGGCAGCCCTTCACCAATGGTTTGAGGACTCACTTTCGGAGCGCAAGACTCGAACATAGATGAAGACCATCACCCAAGATCATGTGTCGGTGGCCTTGTATACCCTGGAGTTCCGAGAGTTGGTGTGTCAACTAGCCAGATGGCCTAAAGCCATCCTCATCCCCTGCTTCAAAGATGGCCTCAACAATGATGTTTACCACACCTGCATCTCATGTGGGGCCCCACACACCCTACAACACTGGTATGTGTTGGTGGGTGAGGTAGAGATTGACCTAGCCAGAGACTGACACCAGGGCAGTCATGGGTGGTGCAAATCCTCCCCCTCTGGACAAAAGGAGACCCAGAAGTCATCAAGGGATGAGTCCAGGCCCAGACAGCAATGCATGGCCTGTTTTAAGTGCAGAAAGGAAGGGGAACCAAGCTACGGAATGCTGATCCACCAAGTCCAGCCCCAAAGTCGTGGCGACTCCAGGGAGAAAGGCAGAGAAACCAGCTCTGAAACCCCAGGAAACGGCACTGAAATGGACGGAGGTCATTTGAGTTTGGTCCTCCTGAATGTGAGGGGCTGGGAGCTCCAACCAGCCTGGGCAAGAATGAAACCAATTCTGATGATGACCCCCTGGTAAGTCAACTTGTAACCAGTGGTGGGATTCAAATAATTTAACAACTGGTTCCCTGACCTAATGACCGACTGGGTAGGTGTGGCTGGGTGGGCATGAGATGGGGTGGGCATGGCCAACTCGATGACACTGTGAGTAAAAATGATGAGAGGAACTTCTCCACTCCTTGGAAATCCCCCCTTTCTTAGAGGCATTTATCAAAAAAAAGAGTGCCCCGATTGGAAAACCTGGCACCATCTCAACAAAGCGCTTTAGTCCGGAGACCTCCCTAAGCCAGAACTATGCATTGTACACTAATTAGCTGACTTCCTGGGAGAGAGATGGGCACTGTGGTCAGACACCGCTGGAGAGCGCCCTGTTGGGGACAGACAGCCCTCTCTGGGTTCCCAACTGCAGCCAGGATGATATGCAGCCGATCCAGCTTCGCGCCTCTTTGCACGTTAAGCTAAGCTCAAAAAAGGTTAAGGTAGGAAAAGTAAAATATTTTACCTTTCAGGCTTCCAGTATTCTGCTACTGTGCCTTTGTCAACAATTTTGTAGTTCTAGTCTTCCTATGGAGTAAGTTTCTTGATCTAGTCTCTCTCATAAGGTGATCAAGTAAGTATTAAAAAAATAAAATCACAGAAATGTGCACTTCTTTATTTTTATAAATGTATGAAACGATGTCTGTGGAGGTGCGGTCCCGTGTTACGGCCAACATGCCCACGCCCCCACCTGGCCCTCCAAGGTCAAACCCACTCCTGATGTGGCCCTCAATGAAATAGAGTTTGGCACCCTGGGCTAGATCACTCTAGGAGAAAAAAGATGGAACTCTTCATTTATGCATTGACTATAGAGGGCTAAATGCGATGTGGCAGTTGAGATGTTCCGGCTCTGTTGTCAGTATCAATGGCGGACAGCTGACGGGCGCAGTGCGGGGACAGCTAGGGGGCAGAGACGGTGCTTTGGGGATGGTGATTGTGTGGTGCGGATGCCGGGATGGAGGGGCCAGGGATACTGAGCGGATAAAGGTGGTGGGCAGCACTGGGCGTTTAGTCCTGACTTTAAACGCGGTTAGTTTGTATGAACTTCATGCTGGTCAGTTAAGTGCCGGCGCCACCTAGTAGAAGATAAATGGATTACTTCTATCAGTTATTATTATTATCTATCAGTCAATCACCTACCTCCTGGAAGCCCTGCAAAGCTCTAGTGATAGAAAATTGTTGTTGGGTAGGATAATTAGTTTTCTTGGAGACAAATGTATGGAATAAAATATTTTTATAGCAATAGTGAACCTCTCAATAAAGAACTGATAAAGCAACACATAGGTGACAAGCTATCAAGATTTTTCAGATATTGTATTGGCTGATTCGAGGATGCACAAATAAATGTCCCCCGAGACAAGAGTGTGTGGTCTTGGCTCTTTAGGTGGCCCCTTGAAATCCCTGAAATCCCACCATATGTGAGTCTCTCCCTCCCAAAAGGTTTTGCCCCTGGTTCTCTGAT